TCCCTTATAATTAACCCCTAGAATGATTACAGCCCTAGATGATATTGTGTAGGGGAGCTCCAAATTTTGTGGTTTTTCTTCCTCCCGTTCAGTGTCAAAACATATATCTTACATTTTCTTGATATTTTTTTTTCAAACTTATTGAAACACAGTAGTTTCTTATCTTTTGCATACTATCATAGGCAGATGAGATGGCTCAGACGTTCAGGCAAAGAATAGCTCAAGCAGAAGCAATGGCTCGTGTAGACCTTCTCAGACTTCAGCCTGAGGTAGTTGTTCATTTGCCATGTGGTTTTCAACGCAGTTGAAATTTGGGAGCATGATTAACTCTATTATCTCGATGTCAGAGTGGATTTACTCAGAGCTTTGATGGGATATTGGGTGGGCTTGCACCTGAATTGCCTGCGTAGGTTGTAGATCTCACTGATGTTTCCCTCACAGAATAATAACGAAGAGTTATTACATTTATAGCTTGCTTCTCTCCTGTTAATAATTCCACATTTAATTTTTAGTATTGGACTTAATTTATAAAATGGCGCCCTTCCAAAGGTATAGGGTATATATAGGTCAGACTCTTTGGAAGTAATGCTATTTGTGGGTAACAACTTGTTGGGCTTTTATCTTGCCTGATTCACAATATTGTTTTAACGGCAAGATAGTTTTATGATCGCTATGCTTTTGAAGTTGAATCAGTAATTGCTATTCAGTTGATGAATTTTTTAACTTTGGTTAGCAGCATCTATAGATGAAGTGCTATTCTGCTAACTTATGGGAATCTTTCATCGCGATTACACCAAATTCCTTGGTATCGGCATTCAGCTTGGAACAATTGTTTGTATTTATTCTCTCGTAGAATTTGTCGTCACTTGTATATTTTGAAACAGTAATCATGTAGCTGATTTTTTACATTTTAAGAGTTCTAGTATTGTCTTCCTCGGTCTCCTTTGAGCTTTCGTAGTTCTTTTATATTAAATGATATTTGTAGTAAACTTTTTCCGATTAGTTTTGTACTTTATTTATATTTTTCCTCTAACGCTGATAGATTCTTACGATGAATTAGATGGTGAAGGTGTTATGATTGTGTTTGCCCAATTAGGATTAGGTGCACTTATTGATTTCTACCACCATGATTTCCTCTAAAATTACTACTTAGTTCCTTTGAACACGAAAGTACTAATCGACATGTTGGAAAGAGATGACAAAAAAAAAATGATAATAATAAAATAAAATAGAAATTCACAACAAAACAAAGACTTATGGTAAATACTTCAGTGGGAAGAATAATTCAATAGTCTGTAAGATAATTCAATAATGACTTGGAAATTATTGTAATCCTTTTACCTTTCAATCTATTTTAGTTACATGGTATCTGTATTCATTTGAGTTAGAAAATGTTACCAAAAAAGAAAAAAAATGTTATCTTTGTTGGTCGTGATTCTATCAAGAGTTGGGCTCTCTCTCTCTCTCTCTCCCTTTGTTAGAAACAGAATTCTCACTTTTATAAAAGTGCCACCCAATGCAAAGGGCTGAGCCTGCCAGATTCTGAACTTTCATTGGTTTGGCCCACGAAATTGCCTTTCCTGTCTTGATCTTAATACCCAGTTGTTATAATGAMGAATAATCCGAAAATGATATTAACAAGACTTTGCTTTTCCAACTTTTCTGCTCTTCTTCCCAAAACGTATTTATTAGAAACTGTCATTATCGAAACCATGTTTGTTTTGGAAATTGTTACTTTTACTCGTATTTGATGTTGTTTACTTCAAGTGCACGTGATGATATAATAGTTCAAAATAACAACCTTCACAGAATGGAATACTGAGGTGTGGTAGAAGACAGGGTATTTGTACGTCGTATTCTGCAAATACAACACATATTTGGATGCCAATATGCGTAGAGTTAACAAAACAAAGGTGATTGAACCGTGTGGGACAACTTGTCCTCAAAATTATTCTCATTTTTTCAATATCATTGAATAAACATTGCATATACAGGAATCGAATCATCTGGACAAAAGTAGCTTTCCTTTTTTACTTTGTGTAGCGGCTAAGTCTCTCAAATATTGGTGTCGACTTTGTGATTGCACAGCCACATGAGACAAACGCCCATTTGATCATTACCTTTATGGAATCAAATTCCGGCCCTTCTCCAACATCTAACTATCAACCTTCATGCACATCCATCAACTTCAGATTGATTCTGAAAAGTTTACTCCGAAATATTTGTATAACTAGAGATGTGTTTGGCATGCTTTTCTTTTGAAGTGTTTTTACCAAAAGTAAAAGTCATTTTAAGAGTTTAATTATAAGTACTTGGTTGTTTGCTTCTAATATTTTGAAGTGTATTTCAAAGTTATTTCCTTATATCCTTCTTAATTACCTCTATCTTTGAGAGTTAGTTTATGGTGATTTAGACTCTTTTCCTCTCTTTCCTCTCTAGCTAGGATGCGGACTTTGGCTCTTGAGATTTTTAGAACAGACCATCTTGTAATCAACAACTCACGTTTGGCTCGAGTTGGTAGAAAAAGTAGTAGTTTAGTAAGTTAAAGTGAATTGAGAGATAAGTTGGTGTGAAAAATTATCGAAAATGTTTGGTTAAGAAAACTCATAAGATATCAAAGTCCTTGCTAGGCAGGTGACCACCATAAATTTGAACTTATTCTCTYTTGGTCCTTTTACTTTTCACCGACTCTAATRACCACTAGGCCAATAATAGTTACTCAACCACACCCTATTGAACAAAAAATTTCAACCATGTCAACTCAGTATAAAATCCATCTAAATAGAAGCATAATTTAAATTTTAAATATTTTGAAGTTAACAAACCCACCGTACTCACAATATCATAATTAAATTTATAGTTTAACCTTAAAAATACTTTTATTAGATCAGTAATAAACACTCCTGAACATATCATCAATAATGGATCGCTGTCAAGCATTAAACATGCATTAATGAAGTTCATTTCTAGGCATTTAAGATCATCAACTTTGGAGGTGCAATGATATATATATATATATATATACACACACACTTGGCTTTTTAGTAGAGAATCATAATATATTAAATAAAATGTCAAAGTCTGAGATTCTTAGATCCTCCCAAAATTGCCCATTTTTGTCTGGTGTACAAACTTGCAAGAGAGAGAAGGAAAAGGAAAAGTGGTACAGCATGAGATGGGAATGAAGATCCAAAGGGCCTAGGATTAATCAAGAGGGGATGAGTTCAAATCCCATGATGATCACCTGCCTTAGGAATTAGTAATTCCTRTGTGTTTCCCGACACCAAATGTTGTAGGGTCAGGCCCGGACACTCACAGATAAAAAAAAAGAAAGAAAAAAAGAAGAAGATGAGAATGAAATTGGGATCGGAGTAATTAAGGAGAGGGATATAACACATTAATATATCCACAAGGGAAGGGAAGGGAAGGGATAATGATAACAAAGGGGCGTGGGAATTAGAATCTTTTGTTTGATGATCAAAGGCTCCATCTCAGCTAGCTTGAGATAGGATTCTAATGAGTCATATTCATCCCACCTGTGAGCTGTGTGGGAATCTCTTTTAGGCGCTACTCATAAACAACATGATCTCCTCAACTCCCTTATAAATACCTGCCCTCCCTTCCCCTCCACAACTCAAGCTTGAAGGACTAAACCAAGTACATCTTGTACCAAGCTGCTTGCCCTCAAGTCCTTCTTGCCTCCCTTTCTTGAGAAATAATCCTTTGTTGTTTCAGTTCAAAGCTGCCAATTAATTAAGATGTCTCCAGCAGCTGCCACCGAAACCATCGACTCGACCGACGCCCCCAAGAGGGCGTACGTCACATTCTTGGCTGGCAATGGTGACTATTGGAAAGGTGTGGTTGGACTGGCAAAGGGTCTCAGAAAGGTCAAAACCGCCTACCCTCTCATTGTAGCAGTCCTCCCCGATGTTCCCGAAGACCATCGCCAGATTCTCGAGTACCAGGGCTGCATCGTTCGCGAGATCGAGCCCGTTTACCCACCCGCCAACCAGACCCAATTCGCCATGGCATATTATGTTATCAACTACTCAAAGCTTCGGATTTGGGAGGTAAAAATAATGATACTCATAAGGCACTTTGCTTTGTTACGTTTTGACGATCGATCATGAATATGTACGTATGTATGTATAAATTGTGTTTTATTAATTGCAGTTTGTGGAGTATGAGAAGCTGATATATCTGGACGGGGACATCCAAGTATTCGAAAACATAGATCATCTGTTCGAGATGCCGAGCGGGCAGTTCTACGCGGTGATGGACTGCTTCTGCGAGAAGACATGGAGTAACTCTCCACAGTACAAGATCGGGTACTGCCAGCAATGCCCGGACAGGGTTGAGTGGCCAGTGGAGGAAATGGGAAATCCGCCGCCCCTTTACTTCAACGCTGGGTTTTTCGTGTACGAGCCGGACCTGGTGACCTACGAAGATCTGCTGGAGACTTGCAAGGCCACCACTCCAACTTTGTTCGCGGAGCAGGACTTTCTCAACATGTACTTCAACCACATCTACAAGCCCATCCCTCCCGTTTACAACCTCGTCATGGCCATGCTATGGCGCCACCCCGAGAACATCGACGTTGACAAAGTCAAAGTTGTTCACTACTGTGCTGCGGTATGATTTGATTTTGTTGAAGCTTAATTATATTATTTACTACGTACGTACGTTAATGTACTGTATTATGTATACATATGTAGGGATCAAAGCCGTGGAGGTACACAGGAGAAGAGGAGAACATGGACAGAGAGGACATAAAAATGCTGGTGAAGAAGTGGTGGGAAGTTTATGAAGATGAATCTCTGGACTACCACAACCTTGTCAAGTCTGAAACCAAAGAAGAAACCAAGCTCACGCCATTGATCTCTGTGCTCCCAGAGGCTGAAGTTGTCAACCACATCACAGCCCCTTCTGCTGCTTAATTTCCCTTCATCTTTAATTTATACCCTATATATATATACATATATATATGAGTGTGTTGTGTGGTCAAATGGTCTATATATTATTATAAATTAAGTATCAACTGCATGTGTGTTTAAGGTTAATTAAGGTTTAAGGTTTTATGTATGGTAGCCCTTTAATTTGGTGGGGGGTTGTGTTGACTGTTTACTGTTGATCGTTGTATGTGTCTTTTGCATGCAACTCCCCCACCTTGTTGTTCATGGGCTACACTATGCAAATTTTATGAATAAGGCTGATTTTATTCTGCCTTTCCTTTTTCCTTTACTTTTCTTCGTCTTTCCATCTTCTTTCTTTCACTTTCTCCTTTCTCTTTGACCATTTCTTATGCGGAGGAAAATGAAAGGAAAATACTTAACTACCGGTMAGGAGCAACCYTGTCCTTACTACTATTAAATATTTGACAACTCATCATTTTCTAAAAAATATGGAAAATACTTGGCTCCTCAAYAGTAAGAACGTCCTTACCACCATTAAATATTTAACAAYCAAGAGAGAGAAATATGTAAAAACAAAAATTGTTTTAAAAAGATGATGAGTTRTCAAATATTTAATCGTGGTGAAGACAAGATTCCTCCCTACTAGTGATGAGTTAAGTATTTTCCAAAAAATATTTATGTTTTTGTATTTCTAAAGACAAAGTTACTCATTAAGTATTTTTTAGACGAAAATAAATGAATAAAAAAAAACTTTTGACTATATAAAGAATCAAAATTGCAAATTTGGAAAATAAATAAATAAATAAAACTTATGACTATATAAAGAATCAAAATTGCAAAATTAGCAATACGGTAAAAAGTAAATAAATATTGATAAATTAAAAAATAATAACATCATTCTATCCATAAATATATATCTATCAATCATAATTATATTTTTTTAATGTAATTATGTATTTTAAAAAATATAATTATATGTTTTAAAATTTAAAATAAAAACTTGAAACTATTACCACTATTTAAATCAGATCATTCAAAAACCGTTTTAAAAACAAATCAACTAAATAGATAGTCACTCTTGCAAACTAAACTCACCCTTAAATTCACACCTCCATATGCATTCTATGTATATATTTCATAAGTTCAATAAAAAGTGCCATATTTGTAACTATTATGTAATATATATTAAAAATTTGAGACTATTAAATAAAATATATTTTAAAAAATCCGATAAATGGAGTGGTTTAAGAACTAAATAAAAAGTTCTCAAAAAAAAAGAAAGAAGTAAATAAAAAGGAGTGATTGATTAGGTTTACATTATGTTGGGCTAAGGCATTCTCAATTCATAAATCCCTAAACCGCCTTGGACACACCAGAGACTGATCCTTCGATGGCTACAACCRACAACCTCCGTGGCTCTGGTATTCCTCCTCCTTCCATGTTTTCGTTGCGTATTTTCGTGAAATATTTTGTTTCGCAAATTTTGCAGAAACGGTTAATCCTTTACGAGCMAGAAAAAGTGTTCATTGTTCTTCTGTTTCGTTCTTCTCTTCTCCTTCTATATCCTCTCATAACTTTGGGTTATGTGGAGGTGATTTGTATCATCTTGAATTGACTTCACTTCCGCTAGGTTATTTCAGATGGGTTCATTTTATTTTTCTGCGTGATTTCTAAAGCCTAAGACGCGTCTTGAGAACTTCTATTATTTAGATGAAGATATGAATTCTCCGTCCGCTCTTAAAGGAGGGTAGAAAGTCATTTTAATTCAATTTACTCCTCCAGCGGTACACAGAATTCCATTGGTGGTTGAATTTAATCATCGGAAACTCCAGAAGTCAAAGGTTGGAGATACTTGATGGTTGATGCTCCATGTGACCTTCCCTATCTTTCTAAATTTTAAATGAAAAAATATGTTGTCTGAAATTGCACGATTTTATGTTCTTTGAAAATGTATAATTGTATTCGGGCCTTCATATAAATCTGTTCATTTTCTTTTCCAAACTAGCTGCTTAAAGTTCATCTAATAATTATAATTTATCAACTGTCTTCTTGTTCAAATACCTTCTTGTTCAAAATTCCTTCAATTCTAAATGTTACATTATTCAATGTCCAAACCTCCTGGCATTTTTCATTATTTCATGTTTTGATCTGTGCTAAGATGTGAAATACTGAAATTTTTATTTCCAAGATAATTCCTCTATGGATAAGATTATTTGAGTGAACAGAAGACATTTGCTTCTTGAACAGTGGACAGGAGAATCTTTTTGTTGATTGTGCTTTATCAGCAGTTGTCTCCTAGTTATCTTTATTTGTTCGACCRTGTTACATGATATGCAAATCCAGAAAACATTAATTATTTTTTCGATGCGTATAATACTCTTATCTCACTTCCATGTCAAAGCATTTAGTCAACAATTTTTCCTCAAATATTGGTTCATAGCTAGTGATGGACACATCATAAGAGGATTGCAGATTTTCCTATTTTTTTCTTGGAAGGTTGATTTTCCAATGTTACATGTCAGATTCTGTGAATGAAATGGTAATGGAATCGGCTAAAGAAGCTTCTGGTCATACGGGTTCAGAGGGAAAGCCTAATGACACGGGTGAGAACAAGGGTGAGAACAAGGAGTGGATGGACTAGGCATTGTTTATTGTTTCTTTCTTTAATTCTTTCCTTGCTGTAGTTTTTGTACTTTTCATGTTAATTTGTAGATTAAGAAGTTTAATTTGATTCTTCTTTATTATGCTAGAAATAAAAGCACGTGTTGATGCCATGTGGGAGCAAATGAATAAAGGAATATCTAATAAAATGCTAAAATGTCTGTCAACCAAACGATGTCCAGCTGTGAATAGAAACTCAAAGAAGCCATCCAATGTAAAAATTCACATTCTTCTATTTCGTAATGAGCTAGGTCAAAAAAAGGAAAAATTGTGTCTTACCTTTTTCTATCCCCACATCCCCCCTGTCTAGAATTGGATTGCATATCTTGGCATGGAATCAAAGAAGATTGAACCTCAAGGGAAAGATATATCATCGGAAGGATCCAAGGTTCTGCAGAACAGTTCTATTGATGATGCTAAGATGCTTGCTGCCACTGCTCTCTCAGCTGTTAGGGATGCTCCAGCTACTATTTCTGGGAGGGGGAAAGTTGAGGTGCCAATACTTTCCTCACCATATTTAATTTGTTTTTCAGCCCCTTTAGGTGTGACTTATCTAGACATTTGGTTTTCTACTTGTGAAGCTTATTGAGATGAAAATAGATTATCTTAGTATATCATTTGTTGGTTGAGATGAAAATAGATTATCTTAGTATATCATTGGTTGGTTGTTTGGATAATTGTTTTGAAATTTCTTGGGTGTTGGTAATGGAAGGAGTACTTCCTTTTTGAATGATATATGGGCAGATAACCAATATGAAAATCTCTTATTTTTTGAATATTGGGATATATCATATGTTATTTTGGTTTCATTGGAGCAATTATTTGGAGGGTTTGATTTGAAAGAAATCAAAATAATTTTTTTAAGGGAAGTTTTTAGAGTGGGGAGAGAATGAATATTACTAAATATTAAGTCTCTTCTTGGTGTGCCGTCTAGTACATTTTTGTAATTATACCTCCTATGTAATTTAATTATAGTTGGGTAAAAAAAGATTGGGTGGGTTTCGGTTTACATTTTCCTTCGGTAAGTTTCTATTAGTTGAGATTGGTGCTTTACATTCGAACTCACGACTTTTTGGTTAGAGATATGTGCTTTAACTAGTTGAGTAATGTCCAGGTTGGTGAGTTGAATGATACTTTGTATATTCCTAAAGAATGAGAGAGAAAAAACTGAATTTATAAGCCATGAAAAAAAAGTTGGGAATGTGGTATCAGTGATTATTTCATTTCTCAGATACTTTTCACAAAAAAAAGTTGGGAATGTGGTATCCCTCTCTCTGTTAGGTGTGTAAAAGATTAGAAACTTATTTGTTGTGTAGTCCAGCCCTTAAAAGTGAGTCAAGATTTTATGCCTTCAGAGATGAAGTCATGAAAGTGTGTTTGTAGGAAATGTGGCTGTGATGGGAGATATTGGAACGTGCAAGTGGTTTATAGTTCTTAAATAAGCGTACGTGCAATTATAAACCTTGTTTGTGCCAACTTGGTTTCTCTGGCCTTGTTTATTGATCTCATCAATGAAATTCCATTTATTATAAAACAGTAGAACAATGAGCTTGGGCATTGGTTATATTGGTTTATTTATTGAATTAAAACCAAATTGTCCTTTACTACAACAGATCACAGAGATAAGAGACTTTGCGGGCCAAAATATTGAAATTAAGAAGTTTGTAGATGCTGATTCAAAGGAGGCATATGAGAAGGCAAAGGCAGGTGCTACTTCAGGGGTTGATGCAGTTCTGGAACAAATTAAGAAGAAACAAAAGCTTAGTGTTCTGGACAAGACAAAAAAGGACTGGGGAGAGTTCAAGGAAGAAAACAAGGGACTGGAAGAGGACTTGGATGCTTACAAGAAGAGCTCAAACCAGTACCTGGAGAAAGTTTCTTTCTTGCAGCGAACTGATTACAGGGAATTTGAACGAGAGAGGGATGCACGGTTGGCTTTGCAGGCCAGGAGGAGGCCTGATATGCGAGAGGAGCCATGATTAAAGCCAGTACCCGAAGCTAGAGAATTCTTGTGCGGATCATTTTCCAACAGGCAGTGTGATCTGCTCGGCTGATGCGGATATGATAATAGAGTGATACTGGTTTAGTTGGTTCCTTGGCGCATTCAAATCTGCTTGGCAAAAACTGTAAGCTGTGCGTCCATGTAAATCAGAGAAATTGCAGTACTTTGTAGTTCCATAATCGGTATCWGCTCCTACCGTCAATTCCTGTAGCAGTCATGTTTCATTCTTCTGTTATGTATAGGACATGTTTGTTTAAATATTCTCCATCTGGAAAAAATTAAAGAAATTTGACAACATTGTGGATCAAATGTTAAGAGTTAAAACTCTGTCCGCTTTGCTTATAAGTGAGAAGAGAATGCATTCTTGCTATTTAAGCAATCTAAATAGAATATGAGCCTAACCTGAAAACTTCGCCGCCATAGCCTTTGCCTTGGCTGGTCGGTTTTTTTAAAGGGTAAGGTGGAGATTTCACACCCAAAAAATCTAAAAATTCTGAGTTCAATGTTAGACAAGACACTCTTCAAACAGCTCCGTTCTTTTTTTTGTGTTTTTTTTATCCGGGTGGATCTTTCAAAATTTTCCTCTAAGCCATACATACGACTTGCTTTCCGCATCTTTTATCTTTTTAAATTGAAACATGAGTTCGAGTATGAACAAATATATATATACTATAAATTCATTTCATTTTTCTAATTAAAAAATATTATATTATAAAATTTATAACACCATGTTAATAAATAAGTACTAAGTAATATTATTTTAGATTTAATTAAATATATATATATTTTTTAAAGGTAATTAAATATTATTTAATCGTTAACTACTTGTTTTTAGATCACCAATTAAAAACACCTTAAATTTTTTTTTCAGTACAACATRTCAAGGAGGAGACTCGAACTCACATTCTCTTGGAAGTATAKGCTAATTACCGTTATGCTCGCTTTGGCAAAGCACCTTAAAATTTAGAAAAACGTCTAACACTAAAAGTGTTTACCCACCTCAAAATGATCTTAATTTTTATAATTTCCCTGTTTTTGTTCTGTAATTTAGCGGGGAAAAGAAACCTTAGCATTTAGCAAGCTCACTTCTGCTCCATCTCACTCTCTCGAGCAGCCTGACCCCCGCCTCCCTCGCTCTCGCCGCCGGCCATCACCCTGGTCTCGAGCTGACAGCCACAGTAAGCTCCTCCGGCGAGACCCACGGCCTTTCGAAGCCTCTTCAACGAACCCACGGCCCCTCCCGCGCAACTGCACGGCGGTGATTTTCATCTGCGACGGCGCAACCTCCACAGCGCGGCGCGGAACCCTCCTACTCTCCTTCCCCGTCTTTTCAATATTCGGCAAACCGGACCCGCACAGCATCGTCCTTGCAGCGAATTCGGCGATGGCACGTTGACAGACTCCGAACGACCCAGGTTCGCGGTACCCTATCCCTATCGGCATCAGTTATGCGCGCACGAACCATTCTGACTGTAGATCTGGTCCTTTTCAACACCGATTCACAGGAGGGCTCGATAGGTAACGGCTCATTGAGACCCCTTTAGTTGATCTTTTATGAGGGATTTGTATGTTGGGTATATGTTGAACTTACTATTGAGCTGAAACACGTACTATGACTTGTGAAAAGCATGTTGATTAGAGATTATTGCTTGTGAGCATGAGTTGGGTCTATATGATATGAGTTCTGGAAAAGTGACATGAGTTAGAAAACAATGTGTTCGTTGGTATTAACTACTTGCGTACTTTTGACACTTATCATACTAAGTGACATGGGGTGTGTCAATTGTATAGTTCTTTAGGGAGGGTTGTCTCTGCCCTCTGCCTTTAGGTTGTTCTTTGCCTTGGGGGTCTTGGTTCTTGAATATATTCCCTTTGTTTCATTTCAAAATAAAAAATAAATAAATAATTGGCACTTATCATATGTTATCTCCTTGTTATCTTGGTTTGTTCGACCATGTTAAATAATAGGCAAATGAAAAAAATTTAGCCATTGTTTAACTACATATAATAATCTTATCTCACTTMCCTATCAAAGCATTAGTCAACCATTTTTCTTCAAATATTGGTTCGTAGCTAGTGACGGCACCTCATAAAAGGATTGTAAATTATCCTATTTTTCTTCAGAAGGTTGATTTTTCCTATGTTACATGTCAGATTCTGTGAATGAAATGCTAATGGAATTGGCTAAAGAAGGTCATGCTGATATGAGTTCAGAGGGAAAGCCTAATGACATGGGTGAGATATTACAAATTAGTTGCTTTTCAATAGTGAAATATAACAAATTTACGTTTTGAAGCTTATTCCTATTTAATTTCAATACCTTTAATCTCATCGTGCAGCACTTATTTCCACTGCATAACCAGTAGCTTTCAAAAATTATTAACAGATTCAGAATGAGCAGATTAATCAAAGACTTATAGACTTAGAGTCAAGATCCAGCGTACAATTTTAAATATTTTAGTGTAATTGGAGAGAGAGAATAGACCTCTTCTGAAGGATATAAATAAATGGGGTACATGATCTATTTCGATAGAATCAAATTTGGGTGAGCTGAGTTCTTCGGATTTATTTATATCTATTCAAAGTTTTGAATTCGAACTCTCTTATCCTTCTTCTACAATGTATCTGAAAGAAGGATGCTCCTTATTGCTGAAGATTCAGAAACCTTTGATGCCATTCGTGCTAAATTCCAGCCCCATCCTCTGCCCCCGTGAGCCCAATAAGCAACACCTTCAAGAATACGAGGTGATCAAACGATTGAAAAAGGAGCGCAATCTTTCATCAGCATTAGAATACTTCAGGACCATAGCCAATTCAAATGCCTTCAAGCACACCGCATCAACCTACAAACTCATGATCGAGAAGCTCGGGCGTGAATGTGAGATGGATGTGGTGCAATACATTTTACAGCAAATGAAGATGGATGGCATCAATTGCTGCGAAGATTTGTTCATATGTATAATAAATAGTCATAAACGTGCTGGCTCTGCCGAGCAAGTTCTGAAGATGTTCTATCGAATTGGAGAATTTGGGTGCAAGCCGACAGTGAAGATATACAATCATCTATTGGACGCACTACTGAGTGAAAATAGGTTTCAGATGATCAATCCCTTGTATACTAATATGAAGAAAGATGGGTTGATTCCTAATGTCTTCACATACAATATACTTTTGAAGGCGCTGTGCAAGAATGATCGGATAGATGCTGCACATAAGCTGCTTGTGGAAATGTCTAGTAAAGGTTGCCCACCTGACGTGGTAAGTTATACGACTATGGTGGCTTCACTGTGTAAAACGGGTAAGGTTGATGATGCTAGGGAGCTAGCAGGGAGATTTAAACCAAGTGTTTCTGTTTATAATGCTTTGATTGATGGGATGTGCAAAGAAGGAAGAATTGAAGCAGCGATGAAGTTGTTGGGTGAAATGATGGAGAATGGAGTTGACCCTGATGTGGTCTCATATTCAAGTATTATAAATTCTCTTTGTGATTCGGGGAATGTTGAGTTGGCTTTTGCATTTTTGGCTCAAATGTTTTCCAGAGGTTGTAGTCCCAATATCCACACTTTTACGCCATTGATAAAGGGTTGTTTCATGAGAGGGAGATTTTATGAAGCTCTCGACTTGTGGAAGCTTATGACACTGGATGGTTATGAGCCCAATGTAGTTGCTTACAACACTCTGATTCACGGTCTTTGCAATAGTGGGAATTTGGTTGAAGCCTTGTCAGTTAGCCATCAGATGGAGAGCAGTGGCTGCATCCCTAATGTGACTACTTATAGCACTCTACTTGATGGTTTTGCAAAAGCTGGTAATTTGGTTGGTGCGTCYGAGACATGGAATAGGATGATATACCATGGGTGCCGTCCTAATGTGGTGGCTTATACTTGCATGGTGGATGTCCTTTGTAAAAACTTGATGTTTGACCAGGCCTATTCTATTATGGAGAAGATGACTATTGAGGGTTGCCCTCCAAATACTGTTACGTTCAACACATTTATCAAGGGTTTATGTGGAAATGGAAGAGTAGAATGGGCAATGAAAGTGCTCGATCGAATGCAAGGGAATGAGTGTTTTCCTAATATCACAACTTACAACGAGTTGCTTGATGCTTTCTTTAGGATGAACAAATATGAAGAAGCTTTTGAGCTTTTCCAAGAGATAGAAGAAAGAGATTTACAGCCAAATTTGGTGACTTATAATACCATTTTATATGGTTTTTCTCGTGCTGGGATGCTTGGGGAGGCATTGCAGCTTGTTTGCAAGATACTTGTGGGGGGAACTTCCCCTGATTCCATTACGTACAATACAATGATACATGCCTACTGCAAGAAGGGGAAGGTTAAGAATGCAGTTCAACTGGTGGAGCGAGTTAGTTCTACGAAGGAGTGGCATCCAGATATCATTACATACACTAGCCTTGTATGGGGTGCCTGCAATTGGATAAATATAGAAGAAGCCATGACCTATCTTCACAAAGCCATTAATCAAGGGATCTGCCCCAACTTTGCCACATGGAATGTATTGGTTCAGTGTTTCTTCGACTCTTTAGGTCATATGGGACCAATCCACATTCTGGATGATATTCTGGGAAAGGGATAAAGGTGGTGGGTCTGGAAGATGGTCATACAGCCAATTTCAGATGTAGTTGTGAACTCTTGTTTCATGTATATATTGAGAGGTTTTTGCTGGAAGTTGGAACCCACTTGTAATTCTCAAGGAAAAGACTGGAGGATTTCATTTACAATCATCAGGTAACTGGCAAATAACTCTTCATGATTGTATTATATACTTATCATCGTACTTCCCTTTCTGGTCTTATGCTTACTCTGCAGCATCTATGCTAAGGAAAATTAGACGTGTACATATCTTGTGGTGAGCCTGAGATACTTAGGTGATTGTTGTTGAATTGGAATCATGTGTTTTAGTTTATCTTTTATGCTGGGTATATGTTGAACTTATTATTGAACTGAATACGTATTATGACTTGTCAAAAGTATGCTAACTTAGATCAAGATTATTGGTTGTGAGCATGAGTTGGGATCTATATGATATGAGCTCTGAAAAAGTGACATAAGTTAGACAATAATGTGAGAGTTGATATTAACTAATTGAGTTCTACTATCATATTTGATTTCAACCCCACAATTAATGTTAGAATCAAACCTTGAAGATGTTTGATGGTGGATGCTCAATGTGACGTTTCCTGTCTTTCTAAATGAGAACTGAAATTGCTTATAATTGTTTTCATGCCTTTGGTATATTATATATATAATTTTGTTCGTTTTCTGTTCCAGACTAGCTGCGTATAGTTCATTTCAGAATAATAATTTGTCAACTATTTTGTTGTTAAAATGCCTTGTTCAAATTTCCTTCAGTTCGAAATGTTACATTAGTTAATGTCCAAACCTACTGGCATTTTTCATTATATGTTTTGATCTGTACTTAATTCTTCTATGGATGAGATTATTTGAGTGAACAGAAGGCGTTTACTTCTTGAAATAATGGATAGGAGTATCTTGTCATTGATTGGTGCTTTATCATCTGTTAGCTCCTAGTTATCTTGATTTTCTCGACCATGTTAAATGGTAGGCAAATTGAAAAAGATTTAACTATTGTTTAAGTTCATATAATACTCTTATTTCACTTCCCTATCAAAGCATCAGTCAACCATTTTTCCTTAAATATTGGTTCATAGCTAGTGACTACACCTCATAAGAGGATTGCAGATTTTCCTATTTTTCCTCGGAAAGTTGATTTTTTCCTATGTTACATGTCAGATTCTGTGAATGAAATGGTAATGGAATCGGCTGAAGAAAGTTATGTTCATACTAGTTCRGAGGGAAAGCCTAATGACACGGATGAGAACAMCGGTGAGAACAAGGAGTGGACTAGACATTGTTTATTGTTTCTTCCTTTAATTCTTTCCTTTATGTAGTTTTTGTGCTCTACATGTTAGTTTGTAGATTAAGAGGTATAATTCTGTTCTTTATCATGCTAGAAATAAAAGCACGTGTTGATGCCATGTGGGAGCAAATGAATAAATATCTAATTAAATGCTAAAAGGTTTGTCAACCAAACGATGTCCAGTTGTGAATAGAAACTCAAAGAAGCCATCCAATGTAAAAATTCACATTCTTCTCTTTCATAATGAGGTAGATAAAAAAAGAAAGGGAAAATTTCTGTCTTACCTTTTTCTCTCCCCACATCCCCCGTCTAGAATTGGATTGCATATCTTGGTATGGCATCAAAGAAGATTGAACCTCAAGGAAAAGATATATCATCGGAAGGATCCAAGGTTCTGTAGAACAAAGTTGAGGTGCAATTACTTTCCTGACTCTATTTTATTTGTTTTTCGACCCTTATAGGTGTGACTTCTCTAGGCGTTTGGGTTTCTATTGTTATGAAGCTTATTGAGCATTGGGGTTATATTGGTTTATTGATTGAACTAAAACCAAATTGTTCTTTACTACAACAGATCACAGAGGTCAGAGACTTTGCGGGCCAAAATGTTGAAACTAAGAAGTTTGTAGATGCTGATTCAAAGGAGGTATATCAGAAGACAAAGGCAGGTTTTACTTGAGGGGTTGATGCAGTTCTGGAACAAATTAAGAAGAAACAAAAGCTCAGTGTTCTGGACAAGACAAGAAAGGACTGGGGAGAGTTCAAGGAAGAAAATAAGGGACTGGAAGAGGACTTGGATGCTTACAGGAAGAGCTGAAGCCAGTGCCTGGAGAAAGTTTCTGTTCTGCAGCTAACAAATTTACAGGGAATTTGAACGAGGGATGCATGGTTGGCTTTGCAGGCCAGGAGGAGGCCTGATATGCGAGAGGAGCCATGATTACCTGAAGGAATTTCCTCTAATCGTTAAGGTTCTAGATTTCTTGTGCGGATATGATGATTCAGAATGATACTGGTTTAGCTTGTACCCTTGGCGCGTTCAAATTTGCTTGGCAAAAACTGCAACTTGTGTGGTACAACCATCAGAATTCCTGTAGCAGCTATCTTTCATTCTTCTGTTATGTATAGATATGTCTCTGAGCTTCAGTTTAAATATTCCCCATTTGGCAAAAAATTAAAGAAATTTGATACTTTTAAGAAAAGTTAGATCTTCCTTTGTTAAGTATCTGCATTGGCTGATCTGAGCAATGTAATATTGAAGAAAAGAAACAAAGTGTATGGGCACCATTGTTATGCTTATTCCATTTGTTCAACTAAACCCAAAGAAACAAAAATATTTTTGAAGGGAATTGGAGGTGTGCACGGGATAAGGAGCTTCTCATTATTACTTTACATATAATGACGGAACAAATCCTATTAAGTTGGCTCGTTCCAAAAATCTAATTGACAATCGCAATTGTACCATCCTCACCTCAACTATCCAATCAACCTATTCCTTTGTATCCCTACAAAACTGCTGGCTGCTTTTTTTTTTCTTTTTGTATTTTTTTTCCTTATTCTGAAGCAGTCACAAACAGACCGAGAATTGATTATACTTTAAATGCGATGATCAGTTTCCTTCTAACAAGCTCCTCAATCTACTTCTAGCCTCTTCTGTCAGACAACACGACTTCCATATTCGCTGCTGAGGAACGCAGCTGGAAGAAGAAAAACAGATCACAATTGCAGTAAGATTATCAGATGTATTAAGTCGCAAAGCTTCTAGGACTAATTCTCGGGAACTTTGATGTGGGTCATTGTGCTTCCTCAACCCACGTCGAACAAGACTGACAGCATATTGGCTTGACATAACATCCCAAATCCCGTCGCAGCCAAGGATCAAGAACTCATCGTCCTTTGTTAAAATAACATGCTCCACTTGTGGCTCGGCAATCAGAGGTGATGAGGAGCCATTTGGCAATTTCAGGTCCCAATCCCCCAAGGTTCGGGTTACTGAAATATAGCCATTAAGATACCCGTCATCTACAAACCCACCCATCCCTTCTACCCGCTTGAGCTCAAGCAAATTAGAAGGCCTGTGATCTTGAGACATTGCAACTGCTACACCTTTCCTACATAAGACTGCTCGGCAGTCACCAGCATTTGCAACAAGCAAATGCCTTCCAAGAACCAATGCCGTCAATGCAGTTGTCCCACATGAGCTGCTAACACTTTGCTCATTGGCTAAGGCAAGATCTGCTAGTAGAAAGGCTTTGCGATGAGAATTCTCCACATCTTTCAAGGAGATAGGATTAGTATCTAGCATTTTTAACCAATCAGCATCTTCAAAAAATAATCTCACTGCATTCCTCTTGACAAAAGCAGCTGCGTGAGGTCCTCCATGACCATCAAAAACAGCATAGAAACCACTGGGCATAGCACACTGGAACATAAATCTGAGGTGGGTAGACAGATCATCAATGCAGACATGTTCATCATCCATAGAGTCTCGAGCTCCAATGTCTGCATAGCTACCAGAACGAATAGTTGGAACAAATTCTATGGCAGTTGACTCTATATGGGCATCTTCAATGATATCTGAACAACTAACTGCCTGCTTGACCAAAAATAAAAAGGGCAAGGTAAAGAACTGCTCTACATATTTCAAAACTTGGTACGGAACGCATTATCATAATATGGGCAGCACAGAAAACACCTAACACATCAAGCTTAAAAACTACAGACTAATAGAAGTAAACTAAGAGGACAAAATGAATTAGAGCAATTATTCCAGCAAGAAGCAAGTATACCGTCAGCAGAGGATTCCACGTCTGTATCGGCACTGCAGTGAGTAATTATTCACACTTCATACAAATCATACAGCAGTGCAACGTAATTATGCTAAGCATATAAGAATAACAAAGTAGAAAGTGATAACTTATCAGTATCCAGAAAAGTCATGTTTTCCTGCAATTCGAACCCCAACCCCAGCCCCACCCTTCCTAAATTGAACAATTTTGAGTTGATTTTTTTTTTAAGTGGGAGTTGGAGCTTTGCTCCCACATACCCAGGGGCACCCGTGCGTGCCCCCGCCCAGCTCGAACTCGGGAGACATCAAGAGTTTTGGGTATTAAGCTCACTAGAAAGTTCGAACTTGAGACCTCTAAGCCAGTATGACCAAGAGACGCCAAGCCCTTGCCAACTGGGCTGCATCTTGAGGGCAACTTTGAGTTGAATTTAAAAAAAATTAATCAAACAGAAGATGTGACTGACTAAGTAGGAAAATGGATGAAGATGACATCTTGGGTCTCTCATCTAGTTCTTGTATAAGTGGTAGTCGTGATGGGTGTTGTAATTCGAATTTGGATTGTTAAGTAACGAGGGAGGCGTGGTGAAATTGATACCTTCAGTGTAGATAGCTTCCATGTTTCAACTTAGTTGTGTGGAAAACAAAGAACTTAGGGTTACCATGTATCAGAACATGAACCTTTTGTTGTTAAAAAGGTGTCTTTCCCTCAAAAGCTGCAGAAGAGACCAAGCATGTCAAGGAGAACTTGGGGTTGGTTGTGCAGATTTTTTTTTTTGAAGAAATGTAGATTAATTTTTGGTTTCAATTTAATATAGAAAGGGAAAAGAAAAAGGGTTCACAAAAATCTAGAAAAGTTTTTAAGTAGTAGTTTTGGGACGTTTGGGCTGAAGGGTGTTGCTAGTTACAAAATTTCAATGCCGTGGGAAAAAAAGAACCACTGGTTTGGTTTTTTTTTCCTCCTTTTGATACAAAACTACCACAACCTTCTCAAATCTGAAACCAAAGAAGAAACCAAGCTCAACGCCATTGATCTTTGTGCTCTCAGAGGCTGAAGTTGTCAACCACATCACAGCTCTTTCTGCTGCTTAATTTCCCTTCTTTATACACACACACGCACGCTATATATGTGTGTGTATTATGTATATACATATRTATATGTATATGCATATACGTATGTGTGTGTGTATATACGTGTGTGTCTATATATATACGAGTGTTATGTGGTGTGAACCAAATATTATTATAAATTAATATTAAATGCATGTGTGCTTAAGCTTTAAGCTTTATGTATTAAATGCATGTGGGCTTAAGCCTCTGGTGGGGGATGTGTTGACTGTTGTATGTGGGTTATGTGTCTTTTGCATGCAACTCCCAACCTTGTTCATGCCTACACTCCGCAAATTTTATGAATAGCACCATAACCATATTTTCAAATTTCTAGAGACTTTCCAGCCATATTTCCCAAACACTTAATTTAATAGCAGAGGACCAAAAAACCTTAGCCTTCAGATTAAAGAAAACGCAAAAAGGAAGCTATTGAATACTTTGGGAAGCATTACTAGAAAGACACCACCATGGGAACAAAAGAATCGAATAGTTTCACTAAGATTTTGTAACTGTCAAAATATGAGATGGCTTCTGTTTCTCCAAATTTCTTTTTGCATAAGATGCACCAAAGTCGAAGGAGTTTATTCCTTCTGATCTTTCATCAATTCTGAGAGGGAATTGGAAGTTTCTATACCCTACATCTTGTTAAAGCTGTCTGGAAAATTAAGGCCCCCAAAAAAAATCAAAATGTTTTGAGTTGCATTCAAGCGGGACTGAGGAAAGGAAACTATAAAAACTGAAATGGGGACAGAAATGAGGAAAACTGAAGTAGGAACAATAAGGGATGATGACATTTTTTTTGGAAAAATCAGTAAATAGAATGATTTTAACCGAATTCAATTTTATGGTGGAAGATTGTCGGAAGTTTACAACTACACTTCCAATCCTGTATTAACATACGCGATGAAATTAAATGTAATAAAGGCATACTGATTCCAGAAAAACCATCTATAAGGAAGGATAAGAGAGCTTTAACAACCAACTTATGGCAAAAGCAATAGACCAATCCCGATCGACATAAATACGAACTCATACCTTCCACAAGAAACAAAAAGAGAAACGAACGTGAAACGATGCCCACATACGAAACAAAATTGAAATGTAAAAACTAAAAGAGAAAAAAATCCAGAGGCAAGATCACAAAGATACGGAAACAAACATCGTGTAATGAAAAACACGGAAACGGAGGGTGAAATGAKGGAATCCAAACCTCGGGAAATATAGGAGACGAAGAAGGGTGCGGCAAATCGATCTGAAGATCGCGTTCTTCGGTYACGCGAAGATGATAGTTGACGTTCATCACAGAAAGGGTTTGCGGGCATATGATCTCTGCTTCAGCTACCATCTTCTGAGTGGCGATCCTGTATCTCCCAAGGGCACCAAACGAGGCAGGACGAACCCAGGGTAAAAGGGTTTTGTTTTATCAGGATCAATAATATTATATCTGCAACTCCAAGTTTAAGTGTTTGGAATTTATATATTTTTAAGATTTTTTTTTTTTCGTTTTTCCCCGAGATTCCAATTCACTATCGGTATTTATATATATGTTAGATAATATAAAATAGTTGATGTTGATGTTGGATTACTGTTCGATTTCTACTGCAACAAATATGGCATGCAAGAATTCTGAACCCCAACTTCAAGATATGCAAAGTTATATATATATATCTTTATCAATAACAAAGTATTATTACACTTTCTCAAAAAAAAAAAACAATGTAATATTACAAAATTACTTAATATCAATCCTAAATAAGTATTGATATTATTTATTAAATTACAAATAAATAAACAAATTTTACGTTAAAATATTTATAAAAGTATGTCATAAAAGTAATAAATATGAAACAATTAAAGTTATTTAAAATATTAATGCAATTAAAGCAAAAAAAAACCCTGATGGTCATTATTAAAAAAAATTATTTTTACATTTCTAAATATTTATTAATCCTCCTTATCTTTACGGGCTAAAAATACCACCCACATATATGGATTTGCACTGCCCCACGATAGAATCCATACCCAAATGAAGTGTTTGATTGATTGATTCCTCATTTCACCCAAAACTATCCCCTCTCGGCTCATCCTATAACTATTTGGACATACACATTGCAACCAACACTCCAAGCCCAAATAGGCCCAAGCCCAATCCCAAATAGTGGCGTTTCCGAGTTTCTCTCCTGTCCTGGTTCCTGACTTCCTTCTCCAATGGGAATAAAATTTCATATTAACACAATTCRGTGATAACCAACAAATTGTCCTTGTCCTTCTCGCTTGAGACTAATTATACTCGAAATGCACTACCCAAAGTTTTATACTCAAAATGCACTACCCAAAACTTGACTGTGCCTGTGTTATACACCTCGACTAGTCTCACGGAGAGCTGTCTGACTCTACAACATTTAGTGTTAAAAAACACATAAAAATTAAATCTTCAAGCAAAAATGCTTGTCATCTTTCTATCAGTCCCTTTCTGCAGTCTCCACCTCACTTTCTTTACTACATTACAATTTACATTATGAAATAATGAATACACAATCACCTGTGTGTTTTGTGTTGTGTGTGAAGTGAAGGATAGTTGCCTTTACAATACTATACTCTACAAATATCCAACGTGTCACCACTAAAAACCACAAACTCACAGCACCCAAATTCTAAAAGCCTAAAAGCCCCTCCCCTTCCAACTCTAATTCACGATGCTTTCATTAAATCGCAATTCTTATTGTTTTATTCAAAAGAGGGTGCCTCGTGACAGACCAAGCCAACACAACACACACCCTCTCTCTCTCTTTTTCTTTCTTTCTTTTTTTCATAAAAGAGGACAGATGGGACGTGGTGAGCCACAAGAATTGAAGACACCCACCCGTGACCGTGAAGGATCTCAATTCCATACAAAGAATATATATATATATATATATTTGAAATCAAGAAGGGTAGGCAGCAGAAAAGCTAAAGAACAAGATAGATTCACGGGACTCATAACATAACCTCTGCCTCTCCCTATACACCTTTTTTTCCCTTTGAAACCAAAATGGGCCATTCACATTCACCCTTGTTTTTGTATTCCACTCTGTTTCAGATCAAATTTCTGGCCTACAAATGCCAGCCATCAGTAGCCACCCGCCCCCAGCCCCGTTGTTGATATCTCACCTGCTGCACCTGCCCACCACCAGGCCCCAACTCATTTCCTTCACTGCACTGCACCAGTATCTAGAAAAACCCACATTTCAATTTTCACTTCACCTTTTCAATATCATTAGTTTAAATCCAGGAGAACCTCAGATCTCTCAGGACCCGCCATGTTCTCTCCATGCAAATGCATTGCAGCCATATTATATAATATATATATATATATATATATTTAATTTTTGTCCTTGAAAGGCCTCCAGTTATTTTCTTTTATATATATATATATATATATTTAATTTTTGTCCTTGAAAGGCCTCCAGTTATTTTCTTTTACTATAATATTCCCATCTCTGTGAAGTCGACACGTGTTCCCTTTCTGCAGCACGTTTGTTGTTTTTTTTTCTTTTAAAGAAATTACAAATTTACATATATATAGCTTGTGTCCAGCCAGCCAGCCTGCCTGTGCCTACTTCATTGAGTTGAGGTTCCTTACATTTGTTGTTATAACTCAAGTCTCTATCTTCCTTCATAGTCCCTTCCCATTCTCCAGCTCGCCGTCGCTCTCCATTACTGCTTTCTCAAAGTGTGATTTTTGTCACTGCTGGGTGACACGCAGATGCAATTCTCACTGCTTCACTTTCTGGCCTAGATTGCTAAGCCGCCCCTCTCCTCACATTCTGTTTAAATTTGGCAGATACATTTTACATTCTGTTGTTTCCATGGAGTTCAATCGGGTTCTTGCTATACTGGTTTGTATCACAGCCATTTTGTTGGTGGAGAATTCGAGCAATGTGCAGGGAAGATACCATTTTCACAAGGGACAGAAGAAACAGAAGCCGGACGAGGATCCCTCTGTTCCATCCCCTGTTTATTCACCGCCACCAGAAGAGGCGGTTCCTTCATCTCCTGCTGAGCCAGCTCCTTCACCTCCTGCTGAGCCAGCTCCATCAGTGCCATCGGATCCCTACCCAGACGATCCCCGAAACTCAACTTCTGATTGTGTCTTCGACGTCACAGATTATGGCGCGGTCGGAGATGGCTGCACCGATGACACTGCTGCCTTCAGGGCAGCATGGAAAGCAGCCTGTGCTGTAGAATCTGCCACTATTCTAGTTCCCTCCGATCATTGCTTCATAATTACTTCAACAATCTTCTCCGGACCTTGCAAACCAGGACTCGTGTTTAAGGTTAGCAAGACTACTACTTTAAAATTAAATTTCCCTCGTTCATGTGGAAGTTGGAATGAAAAGTAGGTGTAAATGCAACAAATCAGGTGGATGGGTCCCTGATGCCACCAGACGGACCAGAGTCGTGGCCGAAGGCAGACAGTGTGCGGCAATGGCTGGTGTTTTACAGGCTGGATCAGATGACAATGACTGGAACTGGAACCATTGAAGGGAATGGCCAGAAATGGTGGGAGTTGCCATGCAAACCACACCGGGTAGGGTACCCACATTACATTTATCCACTTCACTATCATTCTTTCAGTTTCAACCAAAGACTAAACTATTTTTCACTTCAGGGTCCGAATGGGTCGACTCTTCCAGGACCATGCGACAGCCCTGCGGTAAGAAGGAAACACACATCTTCTCTCTCTCCATCATCTAATATCTATGAAGGGCTAATGCTGACTCTTTGATATTTGGGATGTCAGTTAATAAGATTCTTCATGAGCAGCAATTTGGTGGTGAGCGGCTTGCGAATCCAAAACAGTCCTCAGTTCCATATGAAATTCGATGGGTGTGAAGGAGTTCTGATAGAAAAGCTGTCAATATCTTCCCCGAAGCTGAGTCCCAACACCGATGGAATCCACATTGAGAATACCAAAGGGGTTGGAATATACAACTCCATGATATCTAATGGTATAAAACTAGAAAGATGGTTTTACTTTTGTCGACTCATCTTTAGAGACCTCTTTTACTGATATATGATTTGAATAGGTGATGATTGCATTTCAATCGGGCCTGGCTGTGCAAATGTGGACATTGAAGGCGTCACTTGCGGGCCCAGTCATGGGATTAGGTACCAACAATCTCAATTCAGATCCCCTTCTCCATTTATTCATCACTAGACAGAGTTTAATATGTTTGGTTTTGGAATAGAGCAGCATTGGGAGCTTGGGTGTCCACAATTCTCAGGCATGCGTTTCCAACATAACAGTGAGAAATGCAGTGATAAGAGACTCGGACAATGGAGTGAGAATAAAGACATGGCAAGGAGGGTCGGGTTCGGTGAGCGACATCTTGTTCGAGAACATACAGATGGAGAATGTTAGAAACTGCATCATAGTTGACCAGTACTACTGCTTATCCAAGGGCTGTCTGAACCAGACCTCAGCTGTGTTCGTGAACCAAGTGTTGTACAGGAACATCAAGGGAACTTACGACGTCAGGAACACTCCAATTCACTTTGCATGCAGCGACACGGTGGCCTGCACAAATATCACAATGTCTGAAGTAGAGCTGCTCCCACATGAGGGCGAGTTGGTGGAAGATCCTTTCTGCTGGAATGCATATGGGATTCAGGAGACCTTGACCATTCCACCCATTGATTGTTTGCAAGATGGACAACCTCAGAATGTTGCAGAGACCTCTGAATATAGCTGCTAAACACTGCTTCTCTTAGGTTTACAAGTTTAAGAACAATAATAAATAATACCGTATACAGCCTCCACACCACCCAAGAGCCATTTTCTGTGAATGGGTCTTGATGATTATTATTCGCTTAGGCTCCAACTCCATCCCTTTCTGGGTTCATTTTTTAATCCTCCCATATTGAGTGATGTGATGCCCTGTACTATGTACCTCGTAATTTACACTAATAAATGCAGCTTTATGTTCAAGTTAGAGCAGGTGGATGTTATCAAGTGACAAATTTTAGGCAATCAAAATTGTAGTCTGATATTGATCTGTGGATTTAGCATTATTAGAACAAGCAGATTGTCACTTCTTTCTTTCCAATGTTTCCATGGTGTTCCTTACAGCCTGCAAAACACGGACAAACTCGTAGAATATAGAGAAATCAAAACTTGCTGTACCCTCAACGTCTCCACTCAGTTTTGAAGACGACAAAGAACGAGAACATGGATTCTGACAAACGACCAAATCAAAACCACCATATTTCTTAATCAAACTGTGAATTTTGTTGCTTGTTAGTTTCTGTATATCCTCTACCTGCTCCAGCTCCCCAGTTTGTCCACTACTGCGCCACCACTTCTGCAAAATCCTCCTCTTCGCACCCGAACTCTCAACTGATATGACAACTTTCAAATGAATGCCAAGACGGTGCAGTGCAACTTCCGCCCCACCTATTCCACTGAAAATAGACAACACGGTCAACCCTTCTGGGAACATAGACTTTAAAACGGAGAGATGATAACCCAGCGTGTCTGTCTGAAAACAATACTTGAGTGATTGAAGCCTTTCCGCTAAGCTACTTTCAGCATCTTGGGTGTGATTTACTGGGTAGCCGAGCATACGCTCCAATTGTTCAGGGTCCATAGGAGCCAGTTTGAAGTGGCCCACCCAGATAAGGTTCAAAGCTATGCAATGATGAAGAATATCTCTCTGCTGTTGAGATGAGAGCTGGCCACAAGAATCAGTCATCATCTTTGAAAGACTATCACACAGCTGAGATACTCCTTTAACTTCAGAATTGATGCAGCTCAACAGCTTCCTCGTATCCCAGGATGGCCACCATTTCTTTGCCCGTGGGATAGCATCTTCAATGGTCATTGCAGGCTTTGGAAGAATGTGAAACCTGTTTGCAGCCGGAAGATTGTGTACGTAGCCTTCCATTCTACTCAAGGCTGAGAAGAAATGAGTGTCCACAAATTCAGGCTCAATGGCATATAGGAACTTGGAAATTTTTTCCCAAGAATCGCGAGTTACATCCAGAATATTTCCATACAAGAAAAATGGAGGTTTAGCCACCACCTTATCAAGACTCCTAGAGGGATTTAATTTTGAAGGTGGGGGCATGTCAAATCTGGTGATTTTTGGATTAACTTTTGCTTCCATCCATCCGGGACCGTGGAGAGAACTCAAGTCATCAGCATATTCTTGCTTTGGCCTTTTCCCTTTATATTTAACATCTAAACGAGGGATAGGATTCAGAAGGTTATCCATAGATTCTTCTTTTGGTCTTTTACCCTTCAATATTTCCTCAATGTTAATGTTCCTTGACAGAGAAACTGCATCTGAACTGGATTCCTCAGCTTTAACTTTTTCCATACAATCTTCCGGAGTATGTAAACCACCCATCTGAAATGACTTTGGGGTATACTGCACAAAGCCATTGAAATGAATGGAGTTTAGAATTTGGAATATAAGATGATATATTGCAGGAAGTCATACACAGAAGTGGGAATATCACATAAGTTTGGTACCACCAGATGCTTGGCCACATAATACAAGAATCAACACCTCAATCTTTTCACAGAAGACAAAACATAAAATAAATATAATGCACAATAACAGAGTCTTAATTTTATTCAAAATAACACGTGCAATAGAATTATAAATTATTCAATCAATAGAATTATAAATTATTGAATTCAAACGAGMACTATTTTGGAAATGTGTGGAGCTGACTTTACTTGAGAACATTTTATAGGGAAGAAACAAGATAATTTTTAAAAGTAGAGAGGATGTCAAATTTTAGGCTAGAGTTGAATATATAGTTTTTGTTAGTCTAAGAATTAATTATCTTCTAATTAAAAAACTAATGTACCTCTTTAAAGTTCGGTAGTTATAGCAAGCTCTTGGGAAATTTATGGTTGACTTCATGTTGGGATGTTGGGTAGGGAAAGAACAAGATAAACTATTTAAGACCAGACGGAAGAAGTCGACAAAGTTTGGGATAGAGTTTAACATTTACTTATTACAAGCTCTTCTGATTTTAGTATTTCTTAGGCCTCTTTGTGTTGCAAATTTTTAATAATGTGATTTTTATTTCCAACAAAAAGAAAAGAAGGCTTAAGATTTTGGATTCATGGGTGATCTAGGGGACGAATTTTGTCTTCTTTTATCTATTAGTGTGATGTTTATGTCCTGGTCCTACTTAAAGAAAAGAAGGTTTCGGATTTCGGACACAACAAATACATACATACTAGATAAATGTATATCCTTATTCGGAGCCAAATGTGTTTAAGGGTATTTTGAGCAGATAGGTATGAATACATCGAGCAGCAAAATACAAGTATAAGAACCTTATCATTCCCAGGGTAGTTACCAGCAATTCGACCTGTAACAATGGACTCAGCAAGCTCTGAAATTTGGGTGTCAGAACCTGAAGGATTGATGACCTAAATTTAGTGATAAGAAAGCCCAAATGCAGTTCCCACACAAAATAAAAGTGAAAGTGGATGATAAGTTAGCATCCTAGAGCAGAATAAACAGAAAAACTCTAAACATTATCATGCCAATTGAAAGACCTAAACAATATTAAACTGACTAGATATTGAGATGATTCACAAATCAAACTTGCAATGTGGCCAGCTTCTGGGAGTCGTATGCTTACCAAACTTCTCAATTGCCAAAGAAACCTCATTCTCAGAGAAACCCATTTCGAGCAAGCGAAGTGTTTTCTCCATAGTCACAAACAAGGTTTCATCATTTTCCTGGGAAAAATTTTAGACTAACATTAGGAAAAGTAAGCACAATAGAAAGAAAGAAACAGCAAATACAAGATTTAAAGATTATGCTAGATATAAATATGGTAAGCATAATGCAAAATGTAGACAATGACCCAAAAAAAAAAAAGCTGATACAAAATGGTGATCCACATGGTCAACTCAGTAACTACAAGGTCATTAATAACAATGAAAACCAAGCTGGCCAAGTCTATAAAAATGCAAATGCGTATATATAAAACATGCATGTCTTTTTGCAATGATAAGTACAACTTTTATCAAGGCATGATATTACAAGCCACAAGGGTGCCATAGGGGCAACAAGGATCCCAAGAAAAGCGCCTTATGTGTTTGTGTGTACGTGAATTATGCATAGTATAAACGTTATTGTGTATGTATAAGTATGCATCGTCACGTCTTAGTATCCAAACTCATAATTCAAAAGCAGAGTTCATTTTCAAACCCCATTTAGGTACAATCGTGAAACATCCAACAGTTCTGAGATAAAATAGTCACGTGAACTCAAATAATGAAAAACAACCTCCTTTTTCAATTCATTATTACAGAACGTATCATCAGTTTCCATCTCCAAGTTTTCAGCAATCTGTGCAGCAGTTATAAAATCTACTAATTCATTAACTGGAGCATCTCCACCTGAAATGCATCATAAGAAATCCACATGACTACATAAATATTTGACGATAATTTCAATCTAGATGACTGATCCAGAACGTACTAACCAAGCTTATCAATTGCAAAGTCAACTTCATCAACAGTAAAGTTCATCATTAACAAGGATGCTCTTTTGCTATCACTACTGCCATAATAATCATCGACCTCCTGCAATAAATACAATAGACTGAGTAGTAAAAAAATTTTGTAGCTTCTATATAATGGCATTCTATCTGATAAACTAACAAAAACACGGTTCCATGCACACAAAGAAAAAAGAAGAAATAGTAGTAAATGAGGGAAGAACATAAATTTAATCTTGCAGTGACCTGCTAGTCCTATTCAATCCATCAAAWCCCACCTGGGAATTGCATAAATTGCATTTTCAACTAATTAGATTCAAGTAAACAAAATATACACAACACGGCAACACAATCAAGATAGTTGCATGGCATCAGTATGTAGGTTACCTCCTTTGGAATAACAACTTGAGAGATTTCATTGCTTGCATCCTTGTCATCAAATAAGCTGTCTAGAGAATCTGATGATTCAGGTTTTGATGCTTGAACGACCTATTATAAGAAATAAAATTACTTAAACTTTCAAAGCAAACAATATAGTTAATTTATAACTGAAGAAGAGCCAAATCTAAAAATAAAATAAAATAAAATAAAAATTCAGATGCAAATTGTTGAGCCATGACTAAATACTGCTGCAACTATAAGTCACTAAAAATTGTTCCATCAGTTGAATGCCTTCTAAATCTGTCCGATGAATGAAACTAATGGAACAATGAAAACTCCAGGATATATTAATAAACTGACAATCTTAATGCGACTAAGCTTGTTTTTTTATGGTACACCCTATGGCTATCCAGTTAATCCAAGGACAGGTTATTACATATTAAGGTCAAGATGAAGTTTTACATAATTAAAGTAATCAAAAGCTTACCTCCTTATAACAGTTTATAGCAAAATTTGGAGGATTACTACCCTTTTTACCCCTTCGCAAGCCATCAAGAGAATCAGACGACTCAGTCAATTAAGGAAACACGTTCACTTTTCCAATGAAGCTTTAATACTAAAAAACCAGTAACCCCAAAAAGCTGATAGATATAAGAAGTCATTTAACAACAATAATTAACTATAATGCTGTCTGCTAGAACTGGTTTCTCAAGACTATTATTTTTAATAAGACTACAATACTTCAATAGTTACTTAAAATGAGACAGATTATCTGGGCTACTTACCGAATACGTAGTCAGGGTATTTAATAACAATTCTACATCATCTTCACCTGGATTTAAGATGAGATATAACTCTTAGTGAGGATTATTCACATTATGTACATATGTTACATGTCAAAGTCATAATTATATTTCTAGTGAAATTTTTCCTTGGTGTTGGAGAAACTTCATGAGGTCAACATTAAAGGAAAAGGTACTCTCTTCTCAATTTTCTAAAGAGAACAGGTGAAGAACATAATTTAATGCCCCCACCCATGAGAAAGGTATTGGTTCCTAACAATTAAAAAGGAATCATTTGAGTTCTGAATGCACGTACCCTTTTCTTCAATCACTTTATCAACAAGGGATGGCAGGAACCCCATATCTATGAAAAATGATCTTATGTTACTCCCAGATGAGCTTGCACCACCATCCTGAAATTTATAAGAACTGGAAATTTGAGCAAATTCATTCCCTTAATCTTTTCAAAATGGATGCAGGTTCAAAGTGACAATAACAATTGAAATGCAAAATTCGAATTTAAACTTGATCCACTGAAACCATAAGAGTGGAGACCAAGACAAGGTATTTTAGCAGGTTAGAGTTATACATACCCCATCATGCCTCGAATAAATCACATCAGAAGGCAACCTGAAATCCAAGACCTCTTCCTTTGGTACTATAGGCTTATTGCCGGCCTAAGGAACAAAAATAAGAGCGCCATGATGTTGATCCACATGTGCATTTAAGTTTCCGATGATACATCATAATATGTCTTATTTGCACATACCATTAAGTTTTGAAGTAGTGGTTGCTAGGACTAGGAGTAGCTTTAAACTTCACCTTCAAGGGACTAGATTGATTTTTCGATTGCCCTGAAAAGAATGATCATCGATTCTGATAGTCAGTCAAACAATTGAATAATAATTATTTCATGACCTCAAAAACAGCATGTCAAGGGTTCTGAGTCCTGGTTAGGGGCCTGTCACACTATAGCCTTTAGGAATAAAAGTAGATACATTACAATCACCATCATCCTTTGTTCTAACATGAGATTTCGAACTCAAATCACACTGGACATGAAAAACTTAAGCCATAAGTTAAATCCTTTTAAGTCAATCTTTAGTACCCTCTCTTACAAATGTGCTCGGGTACTAATTCTAAAGTATGAGACCTAGCATGTGAACTATTAATTTAAAATGAAAAAAAAAAATGTCATCGCACAGATTTGAACTTAAAGATCTTCTATTTTAAGACTTTATTAGATCATCAATACCCCAAAAACTGGGCCACTACCATGTTAAATCGAGTAAAAATTAATCTTTTCAAATCATTTAATAAAGGGCGAGACTTTGTGTTTTATTGTTCATAACAAATTAACAATGGCAGAATTGGCACTGTAATCCTATAATTGATATTTGTCAAAAGTCTGGACAAAGTTCTTCCGAGTCCCGACTAGGAGTACAGGTTATGCTTGGTAACAAAGAAATCACTAGTCGTACACATGTTTATGGCTCACATTTTAGCATAAGTGCTCTTGTGGATCTTCAGATTCCACAGTACTCTACAATAACCAAACTCAACCAAGTATTTGGAAATTAGTCAAAATGCTCTTGTGGAAAGAGCCTACAATTACATCGTACTTGAAGTACCAAAAACAATACAAGAGTTACTTGTGAATCTTCATTATTTTCACCAAATACCATGAGTTTTAGCTTCTAAGTACAACTTGAAGGTCGCATACCATAAAGCTGAAATGTTATATCCCTAAAATCAAACACCACAAAATAATAAATACCGCATAAGCGTTGAAAACAACATTAGAGTTACATGCAATGGCAAGTGGCAGGTCACATTTTCTAGTACGAGCCGAAAGTGTCAATACAAGAGGTCACATAAAAGTCATGCTGCCTATAAAATGGTTTCGGTAAAATATTTCACATAATAAATCAACTGAGACTTCACTAAACAAAGAACTCAAGGAAAAGGCAGAGTAAGAAAGGAGGTAAAAGTTCATGCAAGGTTTGAGAAAGAAGGCTCCTTTAGAGAGCAAGAAAAAGATGGTTGCATCATGAAGCTGAAAAGAGTCAATTGAACTTCAGTGGTCTAGGAACATAAAATTTCTTTCTACATCTGGGGGTGTCASTGAGAAGAGGAAAAGGTAGAATTAAATCGGCAGTAAGATTGATTAACAAAAGAAGAAACAGTAGTCATCCATAGAAATAGAAACACAACAGCATACGAAACCCAAAAATTAGAGAGCAAACAGGGGAATCGGACCTGAATGTAGCTTCCACTGCCAGAGAGGGGGAATCAGTTAACGGGCAACGGGACAGAATACAGGATGCGAGGTGAGGTCACASCGCCGTTTTGAATTTGACGGAAGGGCCAAGGGGTGTGCGTGACGAATGAAGATGCTCAAAGATCCGAGACTGGCTATGCCGAGCTCCAGCTCCACAGCTTAAGCTTCAGTGCGGAAGCGCCTACTCGGGTTATCGTACTCCCGCCTGGACACTTTTATTATTGTAACACGAGATTACACGTGGCGCCATCTCAAAACCTTCGGTACTCAGGTTTCGTTACCCGTACGTCACAGTTCACACGAAGTTTAAGTTCTAACGGTCAACCGTTTCTCCGTTTTTAACCAGAATTAGGATTCAATTCTYTTCTTTTTCGTAAGAGTTTTCTTGTTTTGTTTGTGACCTTTATTCGTCAAATGGGGATAATTATTCTACAGTTAGCTTGGTTGAGGCAAAGTGATTGGTGGACTACACGTTGCTGCGATGGGTCTACAATTTTACTCGAGAGATAGTTCTTAGATTAGAAGATGTTACTTTTAAAACATACTCAGATATATGAAATACAAAGAGATGGTTTATCGTCCATTTGAAAAGTTGAAAAGCCTGTTCTAGATAAATGATACTACAAGTGTAGCTCAGACAATTCCAAAGCATAGCCGACAACTATTTACATCCCTTTTTTTTTCTCCCCAAGTTCAAATGAGAGAAGGTTCAGAGTAAGGATCTTGATAATGCTAGATGAAGAATCAACTCTCGTTCATTTAAAGTGAGGAGATTCCTTTAGTACTTCAACAAAAATAAAAACTTTTCACTCTATATTTAAGATGGAGGGGTAAATGAGGAAACAACTGATAATACACTTGGTATTTTTCACTTGATATAAAAACCAACATGTCACATAGAAACCCAGCAAAAAACACCACCCACTGCATCAGAACATCGGCCAAATAAAAGAAGACAATTGCAATAACGAAGAAAGACAAGAGGCACCGTCAAATCTAGTAAAGAAAATGACAGCACCCCTTGGACAATTTTTTKGTATGTGTTATTACCATTTGCATCATTTGTGTTGGGACCCGCTTTTGAGCAATACATCTTTGTCAAGCTGCAGGGCTTTAGGATCCAGCGGAATTGTTCCCACCGTCAAAACACCAGAAGTCGAAGTTTCGGTATTATATCCATTTACTTTGATTGGCATCGAACCTACAGTGACAACTTCAGTGCGTTTGGAATTTGTATCACCCGCAGCAGCAGGGGTAGCACCCGAAGGCTTACAATCAACCAGCTTCCCGCCAATTTCAAGTGATTCCATCTTCAAAGTCGATGTAGCGTCAACTTTTTCCTCATCATCATGTTTGGAGTTGGGAGTTTCTTTCACTGCCACAGTACTAGAATTATCGGGATTTGAATAGACCTGCTCGGCTCTCGAGGCCACACTCCTTTCCAACCCCCTCCTTCCACCATCATTCACCTTGCTAGAATTCTTATCCTCTCTCAAAGGTACCTCAACAACACAATTTAGCTGTCGGTTATGATCTAATGCGGGTACAAAATATGGACGCTCCAGCCTTCTAATAACCATCCTCGCTTTCTCTTCCTGCATGATCTTCTGACGGTTTTCATAATAAATGAAGTCGTCAAGTAAAGAGGTCTTTAACGTATGATTCTTGAACAATTTTAACATCTCCAGACCTTTCTTAAATGGTATCTGCGAAAAAACAAATATTATTCATCAACAAAGTGTTTTGAAAAAGTTCAAATTGGTACAAATCAATTTCAGTTTCTGCCCATCTGACTAAGTTGGAATACATAAAATATAGAAAAGCTAAGTTCCTCGCAACAAACAAGTGAGAGTCTGATGCCAACTAAATCAAACCACCCAAATATTTGCACTTATGTTACTAGAGAGTAATCAGATGACAATAAAAATAGAGCAAGAAATATACAAAATATAATCAATTTAGTTCACATTGTTTCTACTTTTAGAACTTAAATGTAAGGCCATGTATAATAAAGTTTCCACAGCAAGGAAAGAACACGAATAGCTAGACTATGCTCACCATTAACCATTTAATAGGATCACATCCACAAGACAGGCAGTTCATTAAGTACACAACATTTATGAATGCAACCCAAAAGAATTAACAGAGGGCGACAAGATGAACCACTCCCAAAACAGAAGAACACAATAAAGCCACATAATTAATCAAAAATAATTTTTTCCATGAACAAAGGTACTACTGGAGTGAAAAGAAAACAACAAAGCTACTTACCTCTTGGGTATCCCTGCTATTAGTAACAGGTTTGTTTTCATTATTCTCCAAAATAACATGCCTAAAGTTGTTGTTTGGCACATCTTTGATAATGTGCCACTTAACAGGGAAGCTTCCACTCCATTTATCCTGCTGCCAAAAGTCCATATCCCTGTTGAAGTCCACAGGACCGACCATCTCTGCTACACCACAGAACTGACCACTTGCATTGACCTATATAGCAAAAAATTAAATCATCAACCTCAAAAAGAAAGATCAATCAACACTATTGAACATTAAAGAAAAAAGAATTTTTGATATCATTAAATTTGAAAAAAAAAAAAAAGAAACTTACAGAGAAAAAGAGGAATACAGGACAGCTTCTTGATTTAGCTAAAACTATTCTCTGTGCATCTTCATATGCAATATTCAGTTTCTTATTTCCATTGGGAGTAGAGGACCAAACATTATATTTAATGCTCTTGTGAACATCATCCTCACTGTATGATTTAATTACAAAAAATTTTGCATCCACATGATCAACAGGAAAATCATCCTTATTGTACTGATCTGTGTAGATAATAATGTTTCCATCTGCATTACAATCTCCAGCCTTGGTTGTGTAGGCTTTCAGAGACATTTGGGTTTTAGATCTGTTGATTCTAGGACCCCGATTCTGCTCGCTTAACGCATCTGGATTGGCATTTGCATTATCCACAACTCTACCAACTTGAACCTTTGGCTGAAGTTTAGCAATCGCAGCCTGTCCATGAGAACTTGATCGAAAGTCAGATAAGGCATTATTGATAGGATGAGGTACTCTCAATTGACTATGTTGAGAAACAACCTTTCCATTCGATAAGTCATCTACTGATTGAATTGAACCATAAGTGCTCCTACCCTGTAAGCACAAATTAGAAATCCAGAGTAGTTACATTAGTCACTGAAAGTAGAAAGAAACTTGCACATGCGCAGTACAGCTCTATGGAAAATAATTGAATCGATTATCTAATMATATTTGATAGCAACAATGAACAAACCCATCCATAAGAAGAGACATGAACCATGAAAGTTCCTTCCAAGTAGAAACAAATTATATTCAATACAGGAAAAACAAGTAAATTTACCTGAAAAACACGTGATGAAACTGAACCAGCATGGCTACCAGCAGAAATGCTACCAAGTGCTACACTATGCTTGCTTGGACCAACATTAGCTCTTTGCASTTCTGTAAACCTGGCCAAGGAATTTCTCTGGTCTAAAGCAGGTTTGGAGGGGTTCCTAGAAAAGCTTCCTGAACTCTCATTTTTTTGCATTCTTCCGTTTCCATTGGATCTATTAATTGAAGGGTCAATCAAGTCAATGGAACCATTTGGGACAATATCTGGCTGAACAATAACGGGGACATAAGCAGGAGAAGAAACAGAGCTTTCATAAGAAGGAATGGTGTAAAACTGTTGGGCTCCTAGATATGGACCATCTGGTCCTATCACAGCACCGTGAATGTAAGGATTATACGGGTTGTATTGAGACTGTGCATATCCATAGCTTGGTGTATAATATACATAAGATGAATTCTCATTTTGAGCACCCTGGACCAAGAGAGAGAATGAGGACCATCAAAAACAAAATTTAAGTTGTTGCTTAAGCGAGAAAATAGAAAATACAGATATCTTTTACTCACTGCGTATTGGATATCTGGACCATCTAAACCAAAAATCCGAGGATGGTCCTCCCATTCGCCGGGTGACTCAAATCCTGTAACACTCAAGACACATGCGTGAGTCATCATAACATCATTGAAATAACTAAATCATACATGCACGAAGATTACCTGTACAGTAATAACCATAATTGGCAGCAGTAGGATAATAAACGCCCTGATCAAAAATAAATTCGGGTGTGGCTCCTTCATTGTACATGTTTTCACTTGGCTCAAGAAATAGATTTATCAAATATGGCTTGATCCAATCCCTTAAAAGTGAAGTCAAGATGCAGAGAATTTAAGGAATGTCTGAATCCAATGGAGGGCAAAAAAAACAAAAGAATGAAATTAGAAGATGCATTAAAAAACATACTTGATTCAAGATACGCAGAAAAGAGAACACATTGAGTATTCCAATTCCAGAATACAGAAAGTACTCAGCAACAAGGTTATTAAGCAATTCAATTATGAACTTTGTAAAAAGGAACTGTGAGTTAGTACGATCATAAACCTCACTGCTACAATGCTCGTTCCAAAGGGAGGTCTAGAAAAGCCAAAGGCCCTATTAATATAAACTAAATGAATAGCTTCTTCTAAAAACCTACAAGTGAAGGTTAGAAGTTAACGGGAGAGGGCAGTAGTAAGTCGTTAAAAAAGAGCCACTATATCGTTGACTAAGTGGCTAGATAAAAGACTCATGCTTGACTCAAGTCCATGAACATAGCAAAACTTGCCGGACAGTAGAAGTAATTAATAGAAGTATAGTGGAACCTCAAAGAGTGAAACCTCCACTTGCATATCCAATTCCTCGATGAACACAATCATGTAAGAGAAAACGAACAATTTACGAAAGGCCGATYGAATATGACAAAAAGGCAGCAGCTCAAAATCTTAATACATCGAGCAAAATTATTTTCTACCAAAATTTCACCATAACGAATCTGCAGAACAAAAATTCTAATTCCCAACTTTCAAGTTGTTATCGAGTAAACGAGGATTAACAAATACAGCAGGAAGAGAAAAGATAGACGACTGAAACTTGATAAGGATTGCGCGATATTTCAAAGATAGACGGGTCAATAAAGGACAAAAAAAAAGGGAAGAGCAGGGGAGAGTGGATTACTACCAGAGAATAGGTGATTGGAGCCATGAATAAACCTGCTGCGGTGAAGGTTGAGATTGAAAATTAAGCAGAAAG